TTCTAAAACTGAACCATATACTCAAGATGAGGCTGAACTATAAAGTGGCAAGATTATTGCTTTTTCTCTAGAGTAAATTCCCTTTTTAATGCATGACTGTACTCTGCTAGCTTTGTTTGCCGCAGCCTGGCAATGCGTGCTATTGTTTAATCTGTAGTCAACAATGACCCAAATCCTTTTTCAAATTCTGACTTCCCTAGTGAAGTACCCATTAATGTGAATTCTGCTTGTCTATTTTTAACCCCCAAATGCAGTACTTTACATCTTTCAACATTAAGGGGATTATTCACAAAGCTGCCGAAGGCTGAAGTGAAGTGAGCCGAACGTTGTTAGGCTATTCACTTCTGGCATGTACGGCTGATTTCAGCCGTACAGAAAAACAATTGGTTCCTATTGGCCGTCACCTGCAGAGTCTTTTAGCAGGTCCCGGCCAATGAATAACAACTCAGCGGAGCCGGTCGTGATGTCACGGCTGGCTCCGCCCAGTTGTTATTGTTTAATGACAGATTAGCTTCCCCAGTTCATTTGGGGATGCTGATCTGTCATTCCAACTGGTGGAGCAAGCCGCGAGATCACGGCTGGCTCCGCCCAGCTGTCATTTGCATGGAGATCGGTCGGCTTTGGCCAACCTTTCTCCACGCTTCGGCTGTCACTTCAGCTCAGTTGAGCCGAAGCATAGGCCTTCGGCTCAGCTGCTGTACAGGCTATACAGGCACACCACTCTCAACCTTGGACCAATTAGAAAAAGAGCCATATACCGATACTCTCTGGACGCGTTCCTGTAGCCAGTTCTCTATCAATGTACACACCATTTCATCAATGACCATAGATTGCAGTTGTGTATTAAGCGTTTATGTGGCACTGTGTCAAATCCTTTAGCAAAATCCAAGTACACCACATCCACCGGCCTTCCTCCATCCAGATTCTACGCCCCTCCTCTTAGAATGTTAGTAGGTTGGTCTGACAAGAATGGTCCTTCATAAATCTATGCTGATTATCACTTCTTATACCATTGTCATGAACAAAATCCACTAAATAGTCCTTTTATCATTCCCTCAAACAGTGTGCTTAATATTGATGTTAGACTGACTGGTCTGTAGGTCCCATGTTGACATCTTGAACCTTTTTTGAATATTGGTACTACTGTTGCTTTACACTAATCACTTGGTTACCCTTCCAGTCAGTATGGACGCCTTGAAAATTAGGTTTAATGTCTTGCTATAACCTGGTTGAGCTCTTTAAGTCCCCTTGGGCAATGATGGCAATGATCATCAGGTGAAAGTAAAAAGGGAATAACAGCCTATAGAAAACGAATGCTGTTATCACATCTGAGGGCTGGTTAGCTGTAGTCTAATACATTGTGGTTTTTAGTTTAGATTTACTTTAAGTACTCAGTGTTTCTCTTATCATAAGCTTCTCACAGTGCAAGCAGCAACGACAGCCAAGGTCAATGTAGAAAAGAGTCAATAAGTATTAGAGAGAGAAAAAATAAACATTTTGTGGACAGACAGGAGGATATTCAGAATTACCTTGCTGCTTGGTGTTTGTGATGCACTAAAAGGTTACAATCCTACAATCAAAGTCAAACTCCATTTTTTTCCTTTGGTTCTCTGAGCCCTCAGTATAATATGGTGGGCACTTTTACAGTGCTAGTCCTAAATTGATTTGGATGGCTAACTTTAGCCAAAATTTATTTTAGTATAGATAGATTGGGAGTGTTAGACTCTGTCAGGTTTCGATTGCCTATTGAGGAGATTTCCTCTCAGTTTCTGTCAGGACATAGTGTTGGGAAATCTCCTCCATGGATCAGTGATAAATACATATTTTTTTGAATAGAGTAGAAAATAATTAGAATTTCTGACATTTTGTCCCTCTCTTCTTTACAACTTTGCTTAAAGGAGAACTATGGGGTCAGTGTTTTTCCCCATAGTTCTCCTTAGGGTAACGGGAGGACACAAACTAGCGTCCTCCCGTTACCCTAAGCTCAGTATACCACGAGCTACAGCTCGCGGTATACTGAGACGCCGCAGCCGGGACGGATCCCGACGTAGATGACAGGATCTGCCCAGCTGCGTGAGTGACAGCTGGCTCTGCCTATCTATAGGCAGAGCCAGCTGTACCCGCCCTCTCCCCCGTCCGTTCCGCCAGTCAGCGCTGGCAGATCAGAGCGGGGAGAGGGGAATCCAGCCCCTCCCCCTGTCACGGCAGAGAGCCGTGACAAGATCGAGAGGTGAGCGAACCTGGTATGTGTTCGCTCACCTTCCGATCTACTGAGCCGACCTGTGACAGTCTCATTGTCACAGGTCGGCTAGATCTATGAGGTGAGTGGAAATCACTCATCTCATAGTTCTCCTTTTAAGTTCATTAAGGTTTGCAGGCATTTGTTTATGGGCAGCTTTCTTTAGATCCCGCCACAGCATTTCAGATTGAGCATTTAGCTGTTAGATGACCTCACATTTGAATCTAGAGTACTTTGGTATACAGAGGAGTTTAAGGTTGACTCAATGACTTTAAGGTGCACAGGTTCTGTGGCTGCAAAACTACCCCACATTATCACACACCCACCACTGTGCTTGACAGTTGTATGAGGTGCTTGTGCTGTTTGGTCTTTGCCAAATGTGGCGCTGTGCGTTATGGCCACACATCTCCACTTTGGTCTCGTCTACCTTAAGGACATTGTTCCAGAAATCTTGTGGTTTGTTTAGATGCAATTTTGCAAACCACAGTCATGCTGCCATGTTTTTTTTTAGGGAAAAGGCTTTTGTGTGGCAACCCTTTAAAAATAAACCATATTTGTTCAGTCTTTTTCTAATTGTACGGTTATGAACTTTCACGTTTAACATGTTAACTGAGGCCTGTATCTGAGTCTGAGATGTCCAGTAGACAAGATGTAAAAAAAACAAAAACGTAGTATTGCAGTGTGCAATGATACCTTTCTTATCGGACTAACAAAATATATAAAAGACAAGCTTTTGAGAGTGAACCTCTCTTCTTCAGTTCAGAAGCAATATGACAGTTTGTGAGTTAAAGCAAGAGAAAGCTGTTAGGGGAGGGGGGTCATAAATGTTGGACCTGGGAGTAAAGAATGCCTCCTAATAATTAAAAGACAGAACAAATAAACATAGGATGACCAATAAACCCTAAACAGATCAGAGATATACGACCTACATGAATATTGTGATCTGTAGATTCATAAAAAGTTCTGGTAGTGTGTCAGAAAACCAGAATCCATATTAAAGGAGAACTATGAGGTGAGTGCTTTTCACTCACCTCATAGTTCTAGCCAACCTGTGACAATGAGACTGTCACAGGTCGGCTCGGTAGATCGGGAGGTGAGCGAACACATACTGGCGTTCGCTCACTTCTCGATCCTGTCACAGCTCTCTGCTGTGACGGGAGTGGCTGGATTCCCCTCTCCCCCCTCCGATCCTCCAGCGCTGACTGGCGGAACGTAAGGGGGAGGGGCGGGTACAGCTGGCTCTGCCTCTAGATAGGCAGAGCCAGCTGTCGGTCACACAGCTGGTTGGATCCAGACATAATTGTTGGGATCCGCTTCAGCTGCGGCATCTCAGTATACCGGGAGCTGTAGCTCATGGTATACTGAGCTTAAGGTGACGGGAGGATGCTAGTTTGTGTCCTCCCGTTACCCTAAGGAGAACTATGGGTAAAAAAACCGAACCAGATAGTTCTTCTTTAAGTCCCTCCTTTATGGCATTGAAATGTAGAATCATTTTCACCTCAAATGTTTTCCTTTTCATGAGCGTTTTTAAAATTCCCTTTTTAGTACTTTAATATTGAGGTTTTGGATGGAGTGATCCTTCTGGGAGAAGTGATGTCCTACTGGAGTGCAATATTCATTCTCTTTGTGGTTCTTGATCGAACTCCTGTGTAGGTTCATTCTGAGCTGCAGCTTAAGGCCAGTTTCCCCAATGTAACAACCTTTGTCACATGCTGAACACTGTATCATATACACCACGTTAGCAGATGTACATGAGTATGACCCCTTAATAGTGTACGCTTTGTTATTGTGACTCGCTGTATTTCTGTCACATATATGTTGGCAAAGTTTGCAGTGGGGTTTATTGCATTGTACTGTGCCATTCTGTGTAAGTGCCTGTACTGTTCAGCTTACTGCGTACCAATCTTCTTCTCCGGTTCAGTGGTTGCTTATATATATATTTCTCAGTGAGGGTGTCACATAGGTTATAGTAGGACCACACTTTACAGAGGCACTTTAAAGTGGTGGTGTTCCCTCACACATATTTGTGAAGTGCTGCTAAATGTCCTCCTTCAGGTTACAGCACAACATTTTATTGGGACTGAGGTCACAACTTCTTGTCACATGTCTTTCTATGTGATAATTCTATTCCAGCCACTTGTTGATTATTATTTTGGATCACTGATAGGGTCTGCATCGACAGTCTTTTGTTCACTTCAAGTGGGTTTTGAATGCCCATACAAGTCTACTGGGAAAGTAAAATCTGCTTGAAGCAGGTTAATTGGAGGTCAAATACAGCTGGCAATGATTTCTGAATGATCTCAAACTGATGCTATTGACACAAGCCCAAAGCCCAACGACACAGGCCCTTATATTACTTGATTATAAGTGTGTGGGCAGACAGCTTGTGAAGGAAGAAGAGATGATGTAGTGAGCGGTCCAGTAACCACAAATAAATAAAGGAGAAAAAAAGGGTATTTTGAAGAGTTTTTCTTAATACTTTTTAATGTGGCATGTCCAAGGAAGGTTCTCCATACCGATACTCACTACTACTGATAACTACAAATATACTATTATTGGGTAAAGGTGGGCCTCTACTTTAAATTGTATCCTTCATTACTTTCAAATAAATGATTTTTTATTTTTTTGCTTGGAATCATTGTTTTCTTTGTTTATTTAAATCAATATTTCAAACCGCATATAGCTAGGCTTTGTGAATTAAACTAAATGCTTTGCACCATCTGATAATAAAATAATATAAAATGTTTCTTTCTACTTACAGACCTATATAGGCAGTGTGGTTATATCTGTAAACCCCTACAGATCTCTGCCAATATACACCCCAGACAAAGTGGAGGAATATCGAAACCGAAACTTCTATGAACTTAGTCCACACGTGTAAGTTTAATAAAAAGTGAATACTCTTCTTTGTTGTAAGCCTGCCTGTGGCATTGTTCATTTATCTGTGCTGAACTGGTCTGGAAACCGCAGGTCAAAATGACCTTCTCTTTTGAAAATGCATTGTCATAGTGGTGATAAGGTGTCCTAAGAGAATTCTTGTCCTCAATGTGATTTATGTAACGACATCCCAGATAGCTGCATGTAGGTTCCGGGCTGCACTTTGTGGTAGTGCACTGCCTTTAGCTGTAATGGCACAGAACAGTTCTCCGGGTTTGCTCCAGTGCTGGTACATGAACATACCCTAAAAATCCTTTTTCAGCATGTTGTTTGTTCATTTTATCATCTCTGGCACAGTAATGTTCTGCATATGCACTGGACAAAGGGTGGATGTGGCCACATAGAATAATGACGAGTCTACCAAGTAACTATCTTTGTACATGTGTTGAGCAGATTCCATTATTCTTTATAGCTGGATCTGGAAGGTGCATTGTTCTCTCTGACCAGACCTGTTCTCTGCCATATGCAGTTGTTTAAAAGGCCCCTGGAGAAAATAAACAATGATTTGGCCGTGGACAGAAAGGGAACTGTTTCTCAACAACAGAGCTAGCCACCTTTTACTCTAGAGGTTGGTGGGGAACCCTAGTTATTGAATGAAGGATGCAGATATCATTCAACATTTACCCTGCCTGCATAGTACTCTCTGTGTCCTGCACCAGCAATATGTGCATCCACATGGGGAGAAGCTAGACTGGGCACTTGCACCACTTGCAGTGTGATTTATTATTGGCTCTGTTGAAGCCCACAGGCACAGCCTCCTGGCCTGGTCCTCTTGAGTCACTGTCTGCCCTGCTGTGCCTATCATATGCTGTGCTTTACACTGTCATTCCAGAGTGGCAGTGAAAGACAATCAAGCTCCATATATGTGGAGGTAAGCATATGTCCTGCAGAGCATTGTTCATACTTAGTGCAAAGATTTACTGCAAGTAATAACCTGCCTATTGATGCTAGGATCCACACCCTGTTTAGCTTACCTGACCAACCACACACAGCCAGGAAAGTAGATAACAGGACATGATCACAGGGTCAGTGTCCATGGAGATTCTTTTAATAAAGGCAGTGGAACGTCCAATACTAATAGTACTCCTGATCTGTTAATTGATTTTGTTGTGGTGTAGAGCGAAGGCAAGCTCTGGCAGCAGTCTGGTGTGTGCACATGAAATTTCACACTGAAAAAAAGCAATCCTGGTTCTATGCTGTACTTTTATGGAGGGCATTGTTTAACTATACCACCCCTCCTGACTGCTGCAAAGGGTGAGTTAGCACAAGGCTTGGAATTAATACAAAACACCATGTAGGAGATTGCCAAATGACTGCTGCGCGCATGAAGGCAAAACAGCTAGAAATGCTCTTGAATTTCAGCCTCCGGTGAATTGACCTGATCCAGGCTGAAAGCTAGTTTGGGAGAAATAACCGGTTTTATCTCTGGTTGCATCATTTATCCAGACACAGATAGACTTCACATAGTGATGATAATTTTCAGCAGTGACGGCCAATGAGAGGTGAAATCAGTCACATGGTTAAAAAACATTTTGTATGCAATATAGCCTAGAGAATTGAGCTGTATGTGTGGGGATTTTTAGCAGTCAAAGACTTGGATATATGGCACATTTCTGCATGAGGAAATTCTGCATATCTCTGGCACGCATTTCTTTTATCTGTAAAACATTTTGCAGACAGTATTTCTACATTCCTACAACTGAATGGCTGGCAAGAGTTGGCTATATGTTCTGCATGACTGTGCTGCCTATAGAAATAAGTCAGATTCTTTAATTGTGTAGCCATCATGAGAAAAATGACAGCTGGGAGCTCGCTGTATACTACAGGTTATATAAGTGCTCAGTGTCATCCTGTTAAACTTGCTGTGTACTTGATATGCCTGTAAAAGGGGCCAAAAAAGACTGTGTTGCCATAACAAGCAAACACATTCAGCATTTATGCAGATTTGAAAATGAAAGCAACCTTCTTAAAAATTATATTCTTGAGAAAACTGGAAATCCCCATTTTGTTTTACCTCTGTATGTGATGTAATACAACCACACCCATTGCATTTCCTGGGTTTGCCATGACCTGGCGTTATAATTTTAGAGCTCACATGCAAAACAGCTGTTAGTAAAGTTGTAGCACATACAGTAGTTCCTTATGAGAAACATTGAGGGGAATTTATCAAAACTGGAGCAGACAAAATCTGGAGCAGCTGTGCATGGCAACCAATCAGCTTCTCTCTTTCATTTTCAAATCTGAACTGAACAAACTGAAGAGATATAAGCTGATTTATTGCCATGGGCAACTGCTCCAGGTTTTATCTCCCCCATTTTGATAAATTCGGTTGAAAAGTCGGCCAAGAATCACAAACGACTGGAATTGTTTACAAGAGGCCTTCAGGAGATGCATGTTTCTTAGAAATTCCGTATACATTCCAAGAGTACATCACATCCTTTTGCATCTTGTCTAGCTCCCTCCGTCTTGGAGCTCTATACTCTTCTTTGTTTTTTAATGTGGTTCCTAGTGCATTGAAACAATGTGAGATAAGTGTATAGTGCTAAATAACCCCCTCCGTGTAACATAGCCTTTGATAAAATAAATAGTGATTAAAAATATAGGCTGTTTTAAACTGACATTAAAGTCAAAAAGGTTTTCCCTCCCCCATGTTAATGTTAGCACTTACCTTAAATTATGTCTCTTATTCCGATCTTCTTCTTTGCTGATGTTTTCATCTGTCCCTCCAGCAGTGTGGCGGCTCTCCGATTCAGTGCTGACTGCTCTTGCTGGCACTTCCGATTTCGCACTGTCTGCATGCGGTGGCACACGTCCATAGACTTACCTTGCGTCTCTGCTCGTCTCCCGGCTGAGAATAGGAACTGCACATGCGCCCGCCCCAAGATCCTTTGCGGCCTTACGAGCAGTTCCTGATTCTCGGCCCAGGAGCGCGCAGCGATAACGAAGTAAGTTTAAACCTAGTTAAAGCATTTTGTTTTTTTTAAACGTATTGCCTATGTAGATATAGGCAAAAAAACGGAGGGTATAGAACCCCTTTAAGTGTTAAATAGGAACCAATCAAAAATGATCAGTAAATGGTGAATTTAGAAACCGTGCATTGCCTACTGGTGTAAACCTCTTTAAAAGATATGACTCAAGTGGGAAAATCAAATGCAAAAATACAAAGTGACTGAGGATATTTCCACAAAACTACTGAAAGTGTAGCTGTAATGGTTTGTGAAACAAAATGTAAATGTGAAACTATGTTTCTAAGTGAATGAAACAAACAAACGTTATTTTAGCAAACCTGCTGAGCGTGTGACTATGTGAATTGGTGAACGCAATACTTCTAGGTGGATGAAATCAAATAAAACATCCTTCAAAACATAACAGTTGGCTAAAGAAAAAACTGTGCACTCCCCACATTAATTAAATATCAAAACCGTATAGCTTTGCAGATCGAGGAAAAAAGTCAAGAGTTTTAAATCTTTTGTAGATCCCCCTTCTCAGCGGAGAAGAGAGTCTATGGCTGCCAAGAAGTCACACCATTGGAAGATCGTTCTGGTGGTGAAAAAAATTCCCCATTCCTCAGATTTTTAAGGTCTTGGCAACAAAGAAATTTTCCAACGTTCCAATCATAGAAGAAAGATAGGAATCATTATGATGCAGTATAGAAATGTATTGAGGGAAAGGACATACAAGCACTCACTTTTTAAAATAACAGCGGCCGGCCCGCACTGGTTTAGATAGACTCCCGTCTCCTCGAGATATAAGATCGAAGTCAGCTAGCCCCGCCCCTGACACGTTTCGTTATTTGACGTCCTTAGAGGGTAGCAGGTGATAATTAATGTGAGGAGTGCACAGTTTCACATTTACATTTTGTTTCACAAACCATTACAGCTACACTTTTTTAGTAGTTTTGTGGAAATATCCTCTGTCACTTTTTGTATTTTTGCATTTGATTTTCCCATTTGAGTCATATATTTTAAGAGGTTTACACCAGCGGGCAATGCACGGTTTCTAAATTCACCATTTACTGATCATTTTTGATTGGTTCTTATTTGACACTTAATACAGCCTATATTTTTATCACAATGTATTTTATCAAAGGCTATGTAACACTGAGGAGGTTATTTAGCGCTATACACTTTTCTCACGGTTTTATTAACCGTTTGTCTGGCGGCTTCTAACCACAGATCCTCGTTTCAATTTAATATTCTCCTATCTAGCACAAATTGTTTTATTATTAAAAACAGGTGCCCATACTTTTCTATCACCCCATTCATGCTACAATGTTGCAATAGTAATAAAAAACAAAACAATGCTGCCGTTTGTATGCATTTCCCCGCAAAGGACAAAGAAGGCCATCGTCAGACAGTTGGCTTCCACAGTTTCTAGACACAGGCTGACGGTCACAAGGAATAGCTGTCACTATTTCTGTCATAACTTTCCTTCACGAAAATGCTAGCTGAAGAGAATTTTAACCTGCTCTTTTCAATGAGAGCACTGCAACACATAAATGGGTACACTAAGACTGGTGGTTGAGGAAGGTGAATTGTCGCATGTGACATCTTTTGGCTCATCGCATGTCAAATAAGCTATTATGTTGCAGTACATATAGATTATTTGCCACATACTGTAGTAGATTGTGTAACTGTCTTGTGCCATCATCCTCTTGGCACACTACTGCACATCCCTATTGAGTCAAATATTGACAAACTAATTTTCTGTGCAGTTTTTTATTTTGCGCAGATTGTGGAACTTTGGGATTTTTGTGATCTTTAATGTATCAATTGCTGCATTAGTTACATCTTGTATTTCAAATCCTTCAAATTGAACTGTTACTTGGCGCATCCAAAAGAAAAAACAGGTTTCCATGCACCAAGCAATAGTTTATCCGGCCCCAGTGAATACAACATAATTACGGAAAGCATCGCACTATTTTCATGTAAAGTAGAGCT